TTCTAAAAAGCGTATTTCAAATACTAGAGACTTGTGCTTTGGCAAATACATGCATATCCATGTTATAATCATAATCTAAAAGTTTCATGAAGATCGTGTGTCCACAAAAAAGTTAAAAAAGTAAGTTCTCATAGTAAGCGCACACTGCGCCCATGCGTGTGTATGCTTGTGTGTGTATGTGTTTGTGTATGTGTGTGTAAATGTTTGTGTATATGTGTGTATATGTGTGTGTGTGTATGCGTGTGTGTATGTATGCCTGTGTGATTGTGTGTGTGTGTGTGTGTGCGTGTTTCTTGTGTAAGTAGAAAGACGCAAAAAATGATTGAAATAGCTATTGCTCCAAGGGTTCAGGGGATCTCATAGTCGAGCAGTCTCGACTAGAGCTTTCTTACTTGTTTAATATATGTATATAGTGGAGTATAATGTATTCATGATTATTCAATCTTTTGAGCTTTACAGCAATACAACGATTTTCTATAGCTTTATCGTAAAGCTTAATGCTAGAAAAATTTATTGTGGATTACCTAAAACCATTTTATTTTAATTGCTCAATTAGTAGCTATTAGAGTAGACGTATGATTAAAACAATAAGCACTGGCTACTGACGCTAAAAATCATTGGGGGAAACTGAAGCTCGAAGGAGTTTTTAACAGTCGCTTTACAAGAACATAATACAACGACAATATACATATGTATAGTCATTATAGAATTTAAAAAAAGTTCCCAAATGCAAATTACTTAATTTATTTACGAATTATCTAATGGCAATTTTTATACCGATATGCATCTTCGAGCCATGGAATAAAGTCAAAGGCAAATAAAATCAATTTATCTATTGGCGTCCATGTGTATGTGGGGGAATGTGCGAGACTACGAATTGCGGGCTATCAAAAAGACCAACAGCAACATCAAGAGCAAGCCAAGGCGTGGCAAGAGCAACAGCAACTGCAACTACAAGTGTAGCTGCAACGCTGCACCTGACAAAAGAACCAACAGTAACTTGAAGAAAAACACACCGGGCATTTTCAATTTATGTTTGTGTTTGTATATGTGAGCAAGAGGGGTGAATGCCGTTTGAAATGCAGGCACACACACACACACACACACAACCACTCATACACTCACACAGTCGCGCATGAGAATTGGCCGCATGGCATGCAAATGCATGCGAAACGCCGTTCCATGTGCGTGCATGTTACATTGTTTGTTGTGTGCATGTGTGTTGCTTCTTCCGCTTCCGCTGACATCATGGCGGCTGCAGCGACGTCATCGCCATTGCCATCGCACACACATAAACAGAAAACACAGCGGGCACAGGCTCAATCCCTGGCCCTGGCTCCTGCTCCGGCTGCGGCTCAGCCAGCGACACAGGCAACATGAAAGCGCCGTTGCATGCAACCGTACGAATGCCGCATTTATGCCTTTGTAGCTGCATGGCACAGAGGGCACAGTGCAGTTGATTGTAGATTTCTGTGGAGCTTCGGCGAGTAGGCGAATGGGGGTGATGTGCGAGTGGGAATGTGAATAAGAATGGGAACGGGAATGGGTACGGCTGAGTTACGCCATAATGCAGTCGGGCATGAACCGCTTCAACATGGTTTGCTTATGTGCCGCGTCGCACGTTTCCCCTGCGCTTTTCCACACCATCATCATAGTTCGCAGGACGCGGCAGACGTGGTGCCAAGCAGTGCCCAAAAGTTTTTTGTCGCTAGCTCTCTCTTTCCTTCTCTTTGCATGTGTATTTCTATGCGTGCTTGTGCCGTCTTAGCAAGCAACAATCTTGGGCAACGAATCGTTGGCATATCTTTGGCCGCCTATTGCGGCTTTTGTTCTTGTTCTTCATTCAACTTAATTCGCTATAACTTAACTCGCCGCAGCTCGCGTCATGCAACGCCACGCCTCTTTATATTTTTTGCCTTTATCTTTGCTTTTACTTTTTTGAGGCAATTCGGTTTTGAGCGGCGAGAGTAAGCACAGTTCGCGGTATCTAATCAAATTATTTGCGATCACATTCAATAGAAGAAGAGAGAGACAAGGAGAGAGAGACAGGCAACGGATGGAGAGGCAGAGAGAAACAGAGAGACAGGTATAGAGGGAGAGAGAAACAGAGAGTCAGAGATAGAGAGACATAGAGAGAGAGAGAGAGAGAGAGAGAGAGAGAGAGAAAGAGAGTGAGACATGAAAATATAGTACGAGATAGAGAGAGGCCGACAGACAAGGAGAGATATACAGACAGAGAGAGAGAGACGGAAAATTAGTAACAACTCTTCTAATACGCATTCTTTACCACGCACAGTGGACGATGCTATATGTAAATGGTGGCCAAAATTCTTTGCGTTGGAATTTYATTATGAAATTTTGAAACTAGGTTTATTTAGTACCTTCAAATTATAAACCAAACAATTGTCATACTGTGACAAGGTCGGGACCCTCCCAGGCTGTTAAATGATGAAGAATTTTGAATAAAGACTAAAAGTGGATAGTAAAATACTTTTTTTTTTTATTATAAGAAACTAAATAAGAAAAACATAATCAATTTATTTTAACTAAATTGTACTGAACAAAAAATGATAATGAAAACATAAAAATGGAATAATATGAAGTAAAAAAATTAATTAAGTAATTCAAAAACGGATTTTAACAGAACAGATTTATTTTTATTTTTAAGCTTTCTTTGTCCACTTATAAAAGGATCCGAGCTCAATAACAATCTATTAAATAAATCTGTATTTGTTGCTATACGAGAGATCTTTCGAGTGTGGTTGAGTNCCTGAACCCATTTTCAATGGGAAATCAGGGTATAATGGTTTTGTTGAAATGTATGTAACAGGCAGAAGAAGGCGTGGCAGACCCCACAAAATATATATATTCTTGACCAGCTGAGTCGATTTGGTCCTGTCCGTCTGTCCGTATGTATGAACGCGTCGATTTCAGAAGATATAAGAGCTGGGGACTTCAAATTTTTCTTTTAAATTTTTACAACGCGGATATTGAGTTTATCATTAAAAATCGATAACTCATCCCGATATTTTTTATCGATAAAAACCCGTATCGAAAACCAGTTATAAAATTATATCCTCTACACCTTTATTGCTAGTCTCCAAATTTTTAATGTATGCTTATATGCAACTTATGCAATTTCGGTTTTTAATTTAAAATTTACAGTTAAAATAAACCCACCTCTATATCCACCCCCTCACCATCACTTTGGAAAAGGCGTATTTTAAATACTAGAGACTTGTGCTTTGGCAAATACATGTATATTCATGTTATAATCATAATAAGTTTCATGAAGATCGTATATCCACAAAAAAAGTTATTAAACAATTAAGTTCTCATAGTAAGCGCACACTGCAGCCCATGCGTGTTTATGCGTAGGTGCTTGTGTGTGTATGTGTGTGTGTGTGTGTATGTGTATGTGTATGTATGTATGTATGTATGTGTGTGTGTGTGTGTGTGTGTGTGTGTGTGTGTATATGTGTGTGTGTGGGTGTGTATGCGTGTGTGTGTATGTATGTCTGTGTGCGTGTGTGTGAGTGTAAGCTGAAAGACGCGAAAAAATCTTTGAAATAGCTATTGCTCCAAGGGTTCAGGAGATCTAGTAGTCGAGCAGTCTCGACTAGAGCTTTCTTACTTGTTAGAATAAACATTGGTCTTTCTCATTTCATTTAGCTGATCTGACACTAACTGGGGCATATAATGGATGAGCTGCTTTTGAAAAATTATGCACTCAAATTTGGGTTTCTGTTTGGATCGCATTGGCTTTGGTAAGTTTGATTCAATTTGGACTCACTTGTTTAGTCTATCCGTGTCGTTGTCGGCCAGGTTGAGGAGGTAGGCCACGAACTCGACGTCGTTCTTGAACTGCAGCCGGGTGCGCATATGCTCCCATTTTTCGGCGTTCTTTGTGCCGATGTAAATGTTTTTGCTGTAATTCTGGTGGCGATATTTGCGTCGTTCGCTGGCAGCACTGCCGCTGCCACTGCCACTGCTCGACTGTTGATGGTGCAGCTGAGGCTGGTGCTGCTGCTGCAAGTGGTGGTGGTGCTGCTGCTGTTGATGCTGATTTTGCTGTTGCGGCTGTTGTTGATGGTGATGCGARTTGCCGCTGTGCCGCGATAGCTGCTGCTGCTGTTCGTTGATGGCACTGCAGAGTGTCGAACTCAGCGCATGATTGCTGTTGTTGTTGGTGGAAAAGCTAATGTTGCTGTTGCCACCAATAATGCTGTTGCTTGGCGCTGGTAAGCTGTTGCTGCCGCAATTCCCTCCGCCGCTGCCGCTGCCCACTCCAACATTGCCTGCATTGCTAGCCATGTCTAGCACTGTGGCATTCTCAAGCTGGGCCGCTGCCACGTTTGCTGCATTTAGTTTAGCTGCAGTTGCTGCTGCTGCGGCGGCTGCTGCCGCTGCTGCGGCAGCGGCCACAGCACTCATATGCAGACCGCCGCTCTCGGCGGCAGCGGCGCCGCTCAGATGCCCCGAAGTCAACGCTGTGCGACTGTCCACATCCTCATCGTCTTCGTCGTCGTCATCCTCGTCTTCATCGTCGTCATCGTAGTCCGCCTGTTCCGTTTGACTGTGATCGGGCGAGTGGAGTCCGTGGGGTAAATCGGCGGGCAATGTTGGTGCTGCTGGGGCGGTGGTTAGGCTATGCATATTGTTAATATTGTTGTTGTTGTTGCTGTTAATGTTGTTGCTGCTAATGTTGTTGTTGGCTAGGTGCTGCTCCATAGCATCCTCATCATCATCGTCCTCATCATCGTAGTCTTCGTCGTCCTCGTCTAGCAACTGCTCCTCGTCTTCCTCCTCCTCATCCCTTTCATAATCACGCTGCTTGCTGTTGTTGCTGGTGCTTTCATTGTTGTTGTTGTTATTGTTGTAATGATTTTGATGTTGCTGCGGCTGTTGCTGTTTGCCATTGTGCAATGCATTGACAGCGGCAGCAACAGCCGCCGTTGTGGCTGCTGCCTGCGCTGCAGCTGCTGCCGCTGCCTGCGCCGCTATTGCATCGCTGTTGCTGTCGTCGCTGCTTTGCGAGCTGTTGCTGCTGCTTCTACTTCTGATGTTGTTGTTGTTGCTATTGTGTTGCAAGCCATTTCCAATGCTTTCACTGTTGTTGTTATTGTTAGTGTTGTTGTTGTTGTTGGCATTGTTATTGTTGCCCGTATTAATGCTGTTGCTACTACTACTATTGCTGCCACTGCTGGCACTCAGTGCCGCTGCTGCAACTGCCGCAGCGGCAGCGGCAGCGCGACTGAGAAAGGGTGCGCGTGGCACTAAAGGCGTATCGGAATTATCCGAGCTCTCATTAAAATCATATGCGCTAAAATCGGCGACATTGCTACTGCTGGCTGCTGCTACTGCTGCTGCTGTTGTTGCTGCTAATGTTGATGTTGCTGACGGTGCTGTTGTTGCTTTCGACATAGTTGCATCTGTGTTCAATTTTCTGCTGTTTTGGTTATTGTTGTTGCTGCTGCTGGCAATGCTGCTGCTGGAGGTGCTGCTGGTGCTGCTGCTGCGACTGCTGCTGTCGCCGGCGCTATAAGGCGTCGCGGCCTGGCAGCGCTTTAAAACCGTTGTTGTTGTACCTGCTGATGTTGTTGCCGTTGCTATTCTTGCTGTTAGTGATGCGCTTTGCCGAACGCTGCTCAGTTTTTGCTATTTGTTGTTGTTGTTACTGCTGTTACTGCGGCGCGAAGTACTACTGCTGCTGCTAACGACACCTCTTTCGGCTTCTGCTTCCGTCGCTGTCGCTGCCGCTGCTGGCGATGCTTCTCTTGGCGCCTCTCGTTGCCTCTGCTGCTGTTTTTGCTTCTGCTTCTTCTTCATTATTCACACAAACAATTCGCGTGCGAGGTTCACACACACACACACACACACACGCACACGCGCGCAAAGAGAAACTAGCGCGCACACACACACACCTTACACTCACACACAGCACACTACACTAGCTGTTGTTGTTGATGCTGCTCCTGATGTTGCTGTTGCATTGTTGCCGCTGTGGTTATTATTATAGTTATTGTTGTTATTTTTTTTTTTATTGTTATAATTATTTCTATTACTATTATTGTTGTTGCTGTTTTATCCTGTTTCTGCAATTGATGCTGTTGTGGCCTTTTTTTTTTTTTTTTTTTTGATGAAACGTAAAAAAAATGTTAAACGTTAAATACGTCGTTTTATCTACACTCGTGTATATAAGCTATACAGAAATACACACACGCACACACACATACGGCGACATCGACGTTGGCGTTAACATTCGTATTAACGCTGGCAGCGCAACGTCAGCGAGCGAGCAGCAGAAACAGCAAAAATTAGCAAGCGCGAGAGGGTAAAAAATATAAATCGAAAAAAAATTAAAGAAAACGCAGAAGCTCGTTGGAAATGAGGTCCCGTTACTCGTTGCAGCTTTCACGTTGCCTGCATGCGTTTCATTTCGCCGTCTGGCAACGCTGTGCGTCAAAAGTTAAAAGCGAGCCGTTTTTACTGCTCTTGCTACTGTCGCTATTTTCTTCCAAGTTTGTTCCACACAAATTGTTTATCTTGTTATCTTCGGCAAATGCATTTATAACATATTTATGAATATATAGGCTTAGGTAGCTATGTTTTCCAATCGCAGCTTTTACGTCCACGCCCCACAGAGCAGCCGCTATAAAATACACAATGCGACCAAATAAGAAAAGACGAAGGTGGTGTATATGAAAGAACATTTGCACGCAACAAAAATAACATAAAATCAAGAATGGGAAAAGGGCGTATGGAAGGAAGTGAAGAACATCTGCGAGGGGGCCAGTCGCACTGTTATTTGTTGCTGTTTTTGTTGTTGTCGATGCCGTTGTTGTTGTATGCTAGAATTATTTCGCTTTATTTTGATATTCTGTCTCTCGCTATCCTTGTTAATGCGCGGGTGAGTGTGTGTGCGTGTGTCTCGGAGTATAACACCCACCTAATGTGTGTTCAATGCGCTGGGCAGCGGAGCGATAGACGCCTCGCCTTCCGTGCGGCTGCACTTTTTGTCATTTGCTTACTGCGTTGCGAATCCGGTTCGTTTTATAATTTTTTTTTTTATAATTTTTTTATTGTAATTCACTTTTCACTTGATTCTCCACACACTTCAAAAGAATATGTTAAAAAAAATGTTGAGTAATTTTTGCATATCTTTTCAATAGCTCTGTGTTTAAAAATTGATTTGTTGCTGTTATTTTATTTCTTTTATTTGTGTGGTATATTTAAGGCTATTTTTGTTGTTTGGGAATCTTAGTTTGATGCCTGATTCGAGCGTTTTCTCCGCAGCGTTCATATGCCGTTACTCGTTGGTCGCGACGGAATGAAGGACTTTTTATTTATGTGTATGTCCTCGTCGCAGCCATCGTCGTCGTCGCTGTCGCTGTCGCTGCCGCAGTCGCGTCGCTGCCGGAGCTCCAGTAATTTCTCTATGTCTATGGCTGTGCCTGCGCGCGCTTGGTATGTATATACACATATACATATTTATGTGCATATAGTTGTAATGCTCGCTATTGGAAGTGTATGTCTGTATGTGAAAAAGTTTCTGCGAGCGACGCCGCCAAAACGCCACACAGAGACAGCCCGCCGCACACACAGACAGCCAACCAAACTCTAGCAGTCCAGAAGCTCAGCTAAGTCGCGGTGTTGCCATCGTCTATGTATGTATGTGGAGAGGCCTTGTACGTGTGTTGTACATGAGTGGGCGTGTGTGTGAGTGAGTGAGTGTGCTTGTACTTGTACACGCGAATTGAGATGACGRCAACAGCGACAGCGACGACAACAGTGACTGCGAGGATATTGTTAGCTACACTGCAGGAGAACGCATAGTGACAGTTGACACACAATCGAACTTGTGTTATCGATACTATTTGAACATATTTTATTGTGAGCATTATTATAATTATTATACTATGAAAAATATACCTACATATATGTATATATACATATACATATGTATATATATACACAGTATGTACGAGTTTTATTTTATAAGAAATGTACAAACAATAATTTTATGTTATTAATATAATATGATTTGCAAGCCTAACAATATTTATTCTAAACGAATAAATTCAATAAAGTAAACCAAATACATTTTAGAACTAAATTTCGCTCAGTGTATCTATTTTGGCGCCTGACATCACCACACATATCGTCATCTGCGAAATGTACTATATAGCTGCCTTTGTTCTCGCGTCGCCTTCGTCCTATCCGCCATCGTGGCCCTCCGCCATCCGCCTTTGCCGCCTTGCGTTTGCCTATGCCTTTGCCTTTGCTTTTGCTGTTGCCTTTGAATTTTCCTTTACCACCGTATCTACGTTATCGTAGTCGTTATTGCCACGACGGCCGTCGCTGCTGTCACAGTCAGCACCGAATGGTATTGGGGTTGGCAACTACAAGTAAATGGCGCCACCCCCAAATATGGTCTGTACCAGAGTCAGAGGTAGCCTCAGAGAAAGAGTCGGAGTTGAAGGCGGACGCGGAGACGAAGACGGCGGCGTGGTCGTATCCACCCGCCCCACATTCACAGTGGTCATAAATCGAATTTTTGTTTACGTAGTGGTGAGCTGCTGGGAAGCGAAGCAGTTGACGATCCCCGAGCTACCTCTTACTGAGACCATGGCCCACAGCTCGCATCCAGCCTGCCTGCCATGCCACTGCTAACGCCGGCAGTGACTGCGGCTGTGACAGCGGCTGCGACTGCGACTGCAACTGCGACAGGGACAACGACAGCGACAGCAACAGTGACAGCGGCCCCACGCGACTCGGCGTGAATGCTTTACGGTTTGTTATGTTTTGCTATACCTTCCCTGCGACTGGGTGGGTCACTGTCTCTCTGTATTGGTGTGTGTGTGCAGGGTGGTTGCTCTGCCGGCGTCTATATGGGCAACTGGCAGCGCGTCGTCCTCGTCTCTGTGGGCGGTGGGGTGGCTGCTACGTTTATGCTTATGCGCCTGCTCCTGCTCGCAACTAGCAGCTCTTGCTGCGCTCGTTGCTTTTGGCGCCCCTCGAACGTATGCAATGCTTTTTTGCTTTTGGTTTTGCTTCTCTCCGAAATGGGGGTTGCGAAACTAAATTTCCTTAACATTCGTGCGTCTGTGTGGGGAAAATGTTGTGAAAACTAAATGTACGAAAGGTATCCAATGGTGTCTATGTGCAGTGTGTGTGTGTGAGTGTGTTTATGTGTGCGTTACTCGATTCTTTTACTCGTTGCCCATGTTGACTCGTTACATTTTCAAAAATTTAATACCAAAATATACATAAATAAATTAACTTATTGCTGGATAAAAAGCTTAACACTACAAAATATTTTCGATTGTTAATTTTTGAATTTATTTATTATTATTAATGCGCAAATAATTTTTTCTGCAGTATTTTTCATAGTACAGTCGAGTCTCGATAATTTATACCCCGCCAAATCGAAAATCGCGATGAATCGAAGAAAATTCTATCCTCTTGAAAAAAGTTCGTTCCAGGTATAATGGTTTTGTTAAATGTATGTAACAGGCAGACGTGGCAGATTCCATAAAGTATATATATTCTTGATCAGGGTGACGAGCTGAGTTGATTTAGCCCTGTCCGTCTGTCCGTATGTTTGAACGCGTGGATCTCAGAAGATATAAGAGCTTTTTTCCTAGGTCCGTGTATAGCACGCGCATATCGACTTTTGCTTTAAATATCGATCAATTGCCCCGTTATTTTGTTATCGATTAAAAACGTTATCGAAAACCAGTAATAAGTTTATATATCCTACATATTTAAAGCTAGAGTCTCAAATTTTTTATGTGTTTTTATATGCATTTTATACAATTTCGGTTTTTGTCAAAATTTACCCTTCACCCCTAATTCACCCCCTCATCCTCACATTTCTAAAAGGCGTATTTCAAATACTAGAGACTTGTGCTTTGACAAATACATACATATCCATGATATAATCATAATCTGAAAGTTTCATGAAAAAACTACATCCACAAGAAAAATTATTGAACAATTAAGTTCCCTTAGTAAGCCACCACTGCAGCCAATGCTTGTTTATGCATGCGTGTGTGTGTATGATGTGTGTGTATATGCCTGTGTGTGTGTGCGTGTGTGTGTGTGTGTGTTTGTGTGCGTGTGTCTGTGTGTGTGCCTTGTGTAAACAGAAAGACGCGAAAAATGATTGAAACAGCTATTGCTTGAAGGGTTCAGGGGATCTCGTAGTCGGGCACTCTCGACTAGAGCTTTCTTACTTGTTTCTAATAGCATGTTTGTCAACAGTAAGAGAGAGACTACAAGATTTTCTGAGGCCTTTGATCAACTGGTATTTCAATAACTCTACGCCTCAGATATCCACATATACACACATATACACATTTAAATCCTTTAAAGTACACATAAATCAATATTGAAAATTTGGAAATTCTATATTTAAAGATATAGAAGATATAATTTTATAACTGATCGATAAGGTTGTTAGTCAATAACAATCAATTAAAACTGGATATAATTTTTGATCAGACAAATTTGATATAAGCGTTCCTTGTACTCGTACACGTACGTACAATTTTCTATTGTAGCTCTTGTACTTTTTCAGATGGATGTGCTCAAGTTCAACAATTACTACTAATTTATTAATTTATTGTTAAATAAATATTTTTTCCCCATTAGATGAGTTTTTTCCAAAGTCAAGTCTGCCAATAAGGAAAAGCCGATATTCCCTTTTCATTATTATCATTATCATTATCATTAAAAAGTTCGACTAAATATAAGCTTTTAGCCTTTTGTGAAGCTCTGGTATTTTTCTACCATTGACGAACTCTACTTAATTTCAAGCTTAATGCTTAAAGCTCCAAGATAGTCGACGGCAAGAACATTTCGATATGAGCTTTTATGATGTTTTGAAGAGGCTTTATCAGAAAGCTGAGCTATGAAATGCGCCCCCTAGTGCTGTCCTTCACAACTATGAATATGCTAACCAATGCAATTGAGGGTTGGCAATGACTGGCTAAATAAAACGCATGCGTCGCTCTCTTCTACACTATCATAGTCTGCCTCTCTGAGATGCCCTCCAGCTCTATTTTGGACGCTCTCTGATGATGTCCATTGGATTCGTTCGTCGTTTTGGGGTTAAAGCGATGCAAATGTCAAAGGCATGATTCCAGTTACAATTTCAGTTTCAGTGCTTTCTGTGCACTTGGACCACATGTCAGCGTATACAAATCCCCCCAAAACGGTATTTCACGAACACGACAAAGTATTTTGAAGCAATAATTTTAATGCAGAGATAGATAGCAAACAAATTTCAATAAAAACACACGAGTCCCTTTTTATATATTTTTTTACTGATTACTTTTGTGTGTAAAATGTGTTCAATGTGTTCGTCATGCAATTTCCACGCTGTTCAGAACGCGCGCGTGTTCTCCTGACTTTTGTGTGTGCATCGATATGTGTGTTTTTATATGTGTATACGTGACTGTATTGGCTGTGTATTATATAAAGTGTCTTGCCAATCGGCAGCTGACAATTGGCAGGTGCATTGATTTTCATGCTGATTAACTGGCTCCTCAGTGTTAAGTCTTAAAAGAGCACACAGAAAATTTAATTAAATAAATGCAGACCCATACGTATGCTACATCATCACGCGGATACACACACTTGTACTCACATGGGCCAATGTTACATACACATACACAGATATCTGCTGCCTGTGCACTATGGGGAAAAATTCAAATTAATAACTTGAAAACTAAGCCAGATTTTTTGTTCCGTTTTTTTTATATTAATAATTATACCCTCAAAAATATATTAAAAAAAAATAATTTTAATTTTTTATAAAAAAAATGTTTTAAAAGAATTTTGCTTGTTAATACTTTAAAATAATAATTTTAGTTGAAAACAATCGATCTTTTTATAAAATCGAAATTTATTTTCTTCAATTTCGAGTTCCAGACCAGCCAAAAATATTAATCCGCTAAAAAAAACTTCGGATTCTTTAACTGATTTAATTGTGCCTTCAACTTTACATAATATATATATTTTGGCAAATAAGCGGCTTTTGCTTATTTGATATGATTAATATGTATGTCTTTGTAAAGTTTAGTTTTATTTACAAGAAATGGCATTTGACAACACTTGCTAATTTTACAAAAAATGAATTGAATAAATTCAAACATCAAATTTTATTTGAACCAACGCATAGTAGAAACCCCAATAATTCATATCCTTTTTAAATTTCTCAAAAATTATGTCTGGTAATTGAATAACGACGATTTGAAAATCGGATACCACAAATTGTAAGCTGAAGGCACATGCTTTTAACAGTGAACTGTTATTCAACATTTTGGGTACAGTACCTTAAAGTTTGGAGTTTTATTAAGATGTTAACGTAAAAAAATAAAACATTTTAATACTTAGAAAAAACGACTAAAAACCCGAAAAACGGAAAAATTTCCCATAGTGCTGTGGGGGCGATGCGTTGTAGCAACATGTCTTTGACTAAGATATTCGCACTCGTACTTTTTGCCCATTACTTACAGCTACACACACACACATGCACACTCTCACATACACACACACGTACTCACACTTGCACGTATTGGGATTGCGTGCTCGTATTTATAAATTTATTATTATGACTAGATTGTTAACGTTCGTATGAATCGCAACTCTCTCCCTCTCTCTCTCTCTCTCTCTGTGGCCCTCTCTTTACCCACTCTCACGCTCTTTTGCCCTTCGAAATGTCAAAATATTGCGGCAATAAAATTGTTTGACTCGCGTTCTCAGCTGCGCTGCACAGCGCGACGTTGCCAGCTGGAAGTTTGCCTTTCGCAGCGAAGTCACATGCTTTTGAGCTTTCTAATGCCAGGGCAGGCAGTCGCGCAGTTGTCAGCAGTTAACATATGTATGCTGGGTAAGTTTTTTACTGTGCAAAGTCCCATCTATGTATGTATTCAAAGCGTTACTTCAATTACAAATTAGTTGTATTGCGCAATGACAGATTTGACTGCATTTTGAAAGTGAGAATTTCACAAGCAACATTCATTTCCACTTTAGCCTCCTGCGCAACGTATCCTGCCTGCTTCCAGCCCTAGATATGACAATAAGAGCTGAAGACCCACAGCTGGCACCACTGCAATAACGGCTCTCTCTCTCTCTCCCTCTCTGTGTGTGTCATTCTCTCCTCAATTTTCGTTTGTTCTGGTGCTCTCGTATCGTCATCGATGGCAAGTGGCATGTCGGCTGCAAGTTTAGTCCTGACTCATACGCGTAGTTGAAAAGTCCTTCGAATAGCCTTCTCAAAGTTCGCAAATCAAATATATTTTTTTCCAGTGTCTTACCTCTCTGTGTATGTGCGTATCTATCTATCTCTATATATATGTATGTATATGTATATGTATATATATGTATATGTA